AGAGCCCAGTGAGCACTAAAAAAAAACCCCTTTAAAAAAAAAAAAAAAAAAAGAAAGAAAGTCACGCTGGGCATGTGTGCGTGTGTGCCCAAAATCCTAGGAGGAGAAAGGATTATGGCATGGCCATTCTCTTAGCAGTTGATTTCTCATTTTCCCTCTCACTGTCTTTCTCTACTGAACACATATGCCCTATGGAAAAGAAAAAAAAATACTTGTGGACAGAAGTCTGACTGCTTTTTCTTATTTTTCCAAAGTCCTTGCCAGAGGGCCTAGGACGAGCCACCCACAAACATTAACAGACCATTTTTTTTTTCCCATTTAACAGGATTCTTCCTACATCCTGTCCCTGGCATAGTATCTTTGAGATGTGTATTCAACTGATTACAGTATATTCTTTTGCTAACCTCGTCCCAAGGCACCGAACTTCCCTTTCCTTGAAATGTAGATTAAATATTTCTTTGTGAATCTCTTCCCAGGACACAGATATTCCCTTCCAATCACCAATCCAGGAATTGTGGAACCCACCTAGAACTTTTAGCCCCCCCCCATTCCACAAGTTCCGCCTCTTTGGGCCAGACCAATGGAAATCTCTTCACTAATTTTGTCTGTAAATCTGAAAATCAGATAAAAGGAACCTGCCTGTCCATAATCACCCTGAGAAAGACATGCATGCCTCCTCTCGGGCCTCTTCTTCCAGCTCTCCGGTCCACCAGATCCTGGGCCTTTGTGTACATGCCTGGTATGTTTCAGGCTGACCAGGCCAGGGACTCAAACCTTGGTCACTATGTGAGATCTGGCTTCTCTGAGCAGTGCCTTACTACGGTGTCACAGAGTTAGCCCCCAACAAGTTTGCTAATAAAATAGTTGTGCTATCTCAATTCATTGACAGAGAGTAGGCTCACTTAACTTTCAAGCCTAAAAAGCAGAAAAATGAGCATTTTCTTTAACCTATTTTTGTCTTGTAATTCTGAGGAAGCCCTTTGAATTGCAGATTTACACATTACAGAGTCTTCATCTCATAGTCGTTTTGACAGCTCTCTCTTAGGCTCTGCCTCTCTTATCCTCTCATTCAATGTGGCATAGTAGGCAGAGGTTTAAATCTTAAAAATGTGAGCACCTCTCAATCCCCAACCGCTAAAGTGGAGGTCAGAAGACCCTGTGAGGCCACCAACTAGCTGTGTCACCTTGGACATGTGAATTCGCATCTCTGTTTTTTTCATTTCTTCCTGGGTAAAACAAGCATTGAACCATCAGAAAGCTTCCTTCCTGCTGTAGATTCAGTAATTTATATGCATTAGTAGCTGAAAGAGGGCCATTCACAGAGACTATTCGGTTGGATTTGAATTCCTCTTTTTTGTCTTTAGTTCTTTAAAGAAAACACATCCTGGCTGGAAACACACACAAAAGAGGTCCTGGAAAGATGTCAACTGTCTCAGACTTCAGCTCTTTCATAGAAACCATCCCCCTAGAAATTACAGCCCCATGTTCTGTAGGGACAGGACACACTGAAGAATGCCTGCACACTCGACACAGGTCTCCTCCCCCACCCACAAAGCCCTCCAGCTGTGACACAGGCTTCTCCAGCTGGGTTTTGTTAGGTGCCCAGCTCTCAACTAATTCCCCTTTGAGAATCTCTCACCAAGCAGAGGCTGATTCCAGTGCTTTTGTTCTTTCTGTGCTTCTGGAGGCGTGCTTGAGCATCCGCTCAGCTCAGGCTGGTGCTCACAGACATCAGAAAACAGATGCTTTTCCCTGGTTGCTAGGAAACCATGCCCAAATGAAAATAATTTGTTTTTTAAATAACCCCCAACCTGACGGGGGAAAATAAAGGTCGCATATAAGACAGGACTATGATCTTGACCTGGAGTTCATGTATCTACTGAGTAGGCTTAGGTTTCCCACCTAAATGATTAATCGGAAAGCTGAGAGGTTGTGAGGAGTCCACCTCCCCCAGGGCTTTCATAGCATCTGGCTGCAGAGTTCAACCAATTGACCAAGCAACAATTGCTGGAGAAGTCAGTGAAACTCTGATTTCTATACGCCTGGGGTGTCCCCAGTGGACCTGAGGGTGATTCTACTTGGTGACTATAACAAAGAGCGGTGAAAATCCTGAACTGTCGCCTGGATGTCAGTCATCACCATCTGTCTTTCCTGTTAAGTGGTTTTCTGCTCACATACCTGCCTCCTTATCTTAAATACTTA